ATAGGACGTTTTGCTCTGCATTTTGTTTTAGCGTGTGGGGGGAATCATAATTGTATTTGGACTTTATATGGCATGGGTTACTCAGTTCAGAGCCAGAAGCACCTGCAGCAAATTAATTTGTTGTAGCACATTAATTATCTCATAGCTTCTATTTAGGCTGCAGCTGTTACTATTATGTTAATAATATTTTCTATCACCACTGTATACAACAGGTTATGGCAATAATAGAAATATCTCTCTTTTTGGCTGTTTCTGTCGTTTCCATTTCTCAGTGTCAGAAGGGAAGACTGAAAGAAATTTAGACAAATTAAGCCCCAACATGCACTATAATTTTCTATTTCTGAACTGATTTGTAAGAGAATGGGTAACTGAAATTAGCAAAGCATCACCCCCTCACAAAGATGGCGCGTGCAGAATTTGTGAAAGCAATAAAGAAGACGAAGGAGAAGCAAAAGAGGGACGGAATACTGCAGTGCTGGGGTGGTGAGTGTTTGAATGGGGGTGGGGAAAATGCTGCAGTTTTCATGAAATAATAAGGTGGGGGAACAAAGGCATACAAAGAGTAGGTTTTTCATTGTTTGTAAAATATAAACACAGATGAATTCTGTCTTTGGTTTGTTCATGCTTTTCACTCTGCACAGCAGGGATGTTCTTAAGAAGTTGCCCTCTGCGAAATTTCACTAAATGGGAACCGTGGACCCTGCATGATGGGATTATAATCACACCAGCCACTCCTTTTACATAATTTTCTGTTTAAGATCCAGTAAGACTCCCTGTTTTTAATATATATAAAGCAATAGACATGTATATGTCGATAAACTGAGGATTTGCGTCCCCATAGCCTAGTGCAACCGAAAACAAAAACCGGTGATATCACATCTACAAATCTCAATGGATTCAAAAACAAAATGAAAATTTTTAGCTGACAAGAACATGTCTGCTGCCTGCAGTCCCTGCAATAGCTCACCATGTTGCCTACTAACCAAAAGATCAAAAATTATCGATTTCATGGCGCTGCGTGCTCTGGAGAGAAAAGCTACTTTAAAATTTGCATTGTTTAAGAAATGAGTTAAAAGAATCTTTTTTTTTTTTTCCTGAACACCTTGGAATGTGAAAATGGCTTGTTGTTTTAATCTTATCCATGATTTACTATAATTCTATTATTTTTAGCAGCTGGAGTCCAGAAATGATTATTTTCGATGAATTTAGGATTTTGCCGCAGTATACATCTGCAGTCCCAGAATCCTCCGGTAAGTTAATCCTTCTTGCGATGGGAAACGCCTTTAACCTTCTTGTGAATGAAATATCTGCAACCATTTTGAAATTTTTATTAGAGGTGTGTGCTGTATGTGTGTGTGTTGCGGGGTGGAGGGTGCCTCTAAAGCATGATTTCTTAGGAATGTGGCGGTATTTGTCTTAGTTCTTAGGAACATGGAGAAACAGATACCTTTGTGTTCTTTGAATATCATGGATGATGTCTCCACTTCTTCTCCTTCACACTTTCTATGGTAGCCATTAAAATGTACTTCCTTAGTATTGCGAGGAATGTCGTGTCAAATCAGCGAAGGCCTCGAGAACACAGAACTCTAAGCACGAAGGGTGTTCTTGGCATAACTGTAGAGGCCATGAACATAATGCTGTTGCTGCTGCCACTGCCACCACCATTGCCATCGCCTTCCACCACCTTCACTGCCCCTCCCTCGATCTGCAATGCACACCAGATGCAAGCTTTCCACGGTGACCCTCCGCCGAATCTGCCCAGTGGGTTCCTAGGTTACTTCTGTGTGCGAGAATAGCCAACCACGTAGTCTGACAAGAGGTATTTACAACTACTTAGCCTGTTCAGCTGGAAAGAAATCAAAAGATAACACTGAACCCTGAGACGATGTACTGCAAATCAAAAATCCCAGTCCATAAATAGCCCACTTGACCAACTGCTAAATGAAAAGCTGATCCTGATTACAGTCTGGTGTTTTCAGGTTGTCATAAGGAAATACTTTCAAGGTGCCTTCTTAGAGACTGGGGATTTATTGTTTTTAACTGCATGGACTATTATTTAGTCTTACCTTTTCGTTGACAGGGGATTCCTTTAAAGGGGATTTGGATGTAGAGTCCAGAGGAGACCACACCCTGGTTTAACAGCTCCTGTTTTCTGTTTATTTCCAAGTAGGGCTGATTAACAGTTCTAATTATTCATTCATTAATTTAAGGGATCTAATCAAAAAGAGCCAGTCATCCATTTCCCTCTCTCTAAATGAACCTCATTGTCTTAGGTGCTCAATAAATGTGTAATTAATGGATTTGATAGAGTTGACTATCCAAAAAGTGAATGGGCCTTCTTCACAATGCTGCCTTGCTGAATACTTCTGTCCAAAGTGCAAAAACAATCTCTGGGCATTTATTTCTTTGCCTAAAGATGATTCAAAGGTATGTGTTTTAGCAAAGGGGTTACGTTCAGTTTCATGCAATCACTGTTTGATCTGCCAATGGTCGAATATCATAAGTAATACCTCTGCTGTTAAACCAGCTGGAGACACATTGGGTTTCTAGGAACACAGCCTGAAATTTAGAACCATTTGTCTGTTGCAGTTTCACAAAATGAATTAATTTATGTCAAACTCAAGTGGGCTGGCTCTACAAGGAAAAGGTGTAAAAAACATGATAACCAAGTGTTTGTTTATGAAATATCTTGCCCAAAGTCAATTTTTAAAAATCATATTTTACAAAACCACTTAATTTCACCAACTCATCAGGTATTTTGATACTTGTATTTCTCTTTGGTTTAATGACAGTGTTTATCTTCATTTCACAGAAGTCATTCATCTCATATTTTTGATGATGCAATTGGAACAAATTGTTTTATGAGAGGAGATAAAAAATCTGAGAAATTTGTTAAATTCAGCTAGCTTGCTTTGATGCTAGTCACCCAATAATTCTTCAGTACTCTTAAGTCTGCTGGGAAAAACAGCTTGCTGCATTGTTGCAAATCTTATCATTTCCTTTAACAACATATGTTTGCTTAAAGTATCAATGGGTTAAAAACATTAATTCTATATTTAGAAAAAATATTTATAGAAAAATGCTTGGATTATTTTGACACCTGAATAGAGAAATACAAATATAAGAGTGTTTTTATCCTTTAGATTGTCTAATGTGCAAATATTTCTTAAACCAGTTTTAACAGCATGCCTTATTCAGCAAAAATAAACTGAACATAGAAGAAGCAAACATGTTACAAAAATTACCTCTAAATATTGACCAGTCATCTGATTTTAAGACATACGACTTTAATCAAATCAACTGTAAATTCTTTAACTCTGTACATGAGAGTTAAAATTGGGGATTAATACCTGGAAATACCATTCATACTTCTGAGTTTATATTAGAAATATTACTTTGATTAAATACCTTTTTCTGTTCAAGCTGTCTGAATTATGACCAGCTGAGCTGACCACAACCACAACCACCAGCTACAGTGAATTCTACAGATTACTAGCAAAGCTGCAAATGAAAAAGTCATTCTACACAATGGATCTCACTGAACATCATCTTAGTGCTTGGACTTTTTCCCTGCAGGGACCCACATGTGCTATGGTGGTAGATGGCAGTTGTTACAACTGTATATAATATTTTTTAAAACAGCAAAACAGTTATTTAAAGAACCTATTGGCCCTGAAGCATTAGCTATCCTAAAACTACAAGTCCTACTCCTTGAATGAACAAGGGTAGGTTTCCTGCCTGTACCTATGTAAAAAGGCTTATTGTCTGCATGAATTAATTATAATCCTAGGAAAAAAGCCCCAAGATAACTTTCACTGTTGCTTTTTGTACTCTCTTCATTGCTTTAGATGAAAAATACGCATAAAACAATAAAGTGAATCGATCATAATTGTTTCACCTTTCACAAAAGTCAATCTTGCTGGATTACAACGGAGACATTTCCAGAGGAAATGAAGACCCAACTTCAGCCTATCAAAACGAATTAGAAAATGTTTTCGTTGTTAAAGAAAATTTAAAAAAATTAGAGGCTGTCTAATCGGTAACTCCTTCCGTAAACAACAGACTGGCTTTCTCACGTAAACCATTGAATGCACCTCCGACAAAGAAAAATCCTCACAAATAAATCTACTGATACTTAGTAGCACCGTGGAACCAGATAAAATTGGAATCTATAACAATTAGCCTAATTGACAGGGCTCTCTAGCTAATCTATCTCCATTAGTCATTTGTTCACAGTAGGCACTCATAACGACTTGTTGAATTGCGGACTTGGCGCACAATCTAGAGTTCTAGCCTCCCGTAGTGGGGATGGAAAACGGCTCGGCCAGGTCGTTGCCGTCCGGGTTTAGGCTGCGCAGCCGGCTGGGATGTGGGATCCACGATCCCGACGGTGCGGGGCTTTGGGGTGGTGTGCAGCTGGGCTGTGAGCCTGGCCTTCAGGGAGTGTGTGGCACAGACCGCAACGACGCCAGCGTCCCCCGACGGACAGCGGGGTCGGGAGCTGCGCCGAGGCAGCGCCCGGAACCGGGCGGGCCCCGACCCCAGTACCGGCGCCGCCACTACCCGACCCCGAACTTCCGCCCTCCCGGGACCCGCTCTGCCTGCCCCGCGCGGCTCCCAAGGGCCAGCGCCCAGGTGCCGCCTCAGGCGGGCGGCGAGCCTCGCGTCTGCTCTCACGCTTCGGTGGCCGCGCGGGTTGGGGGCTTCGGGCTCGGGACAGTGTAAGATCTCAGTGCCGCCCTCCTCCCCGCCCCAGCACGCAGGAGCTTCGGCCTCCCCACCTCAGACCACAAGGCCCCCACGGGAGGTCCTCCACTCCCGCGCAGCGGGGCAACAACCGGCCCGCACCCTCGAGAGGGTCTCGAAGCGCGCGGGCGCCCCACCCGGCTCGGGGCGCTCGGACAGCGGCCGGCGACTCGGTAGCGCGGGGACTACTTTCCACCGCCCTCCCGCGCCCCGCCCCTTGTCCTCGCGTGGCGGAACGCTCCGCCAGCGGCGGCAGGATACAGCGTTTCTGCTCGCCTTATAAGAGCTCCTTGTGCGGCGCCATTTTAAGCCTCTCGGTCTGTGGCAGCCGCGTTAGCCCGGCCCTGGGAGCGGAGAGTGAGGGGAGGCGGAGACGGAGACTGTGGAAGGTCCAAAGAGCAGCTCCAGTCGCCGCCGAGCCGCCACCACAGGCCGAGGACGACTCGACTCCCACGGCGGGCGGAGCCTGTTCCCCTGAGGTGCTTGGACGCTCTTTTCCTTACCCTTCCGGGGCTGCTCCCGCTCCCTCTTCGGAGCCAAACTTCGTCGCGGGGCGCGCGGTCCCGGCGGCGGGCGGGGACCCCGGCCCGCTGCAGTCCG